CACTAAATGATGGAGTGTATATTTATGAACCAAGCGTGCTTTTTCAATTCTGCTTATACCAAAACCGCCGTCCTCGTGTTTCAGTGTTAATTATGGTTCTAGCATATAGAGACACCACAAATCTGTGATATTCACTTGAATATGCTGCTAGCATATGTGCAGATAATGATTCCCTCTTCAGAAAAATTTGTTAGGGAGCAAAAGACAAATAGGCATCTATTTTTAAATATACATTGCACTGGAGAAAATACCTATACAATGTTTTAAAATTAAAATTTATTGAAGCAACACTTGCCTCAATTCTCACTTTATTTCTTGCAGCTATGCGTCTCACATAGCAAAACCTGACTAAAGGCAATGTCATTGAACAAATTAGTTAAATCTCTTCCATCAGTCTTATTATTCAACTAAAAAAGACCAAAAAAAAAGTGCTATCAGGGGCTCTCTGTAAGATCCGTCCATCCATCCATTTTCTATCACGCTTTTTCCCTGCTGGGGTTGTGAGGGGTGCTGGTGCCTATCTCCAGCTGACTAGAGGCGGGGTACACCCTGGACAGGTCGCCAGTCCATCGCAGAGCAACACAGAGACAAACAGGACAAACAACACTTCATGCACACACTCACACCTAAGGACGATTTAGAGATGCCAATTAACCTAACAGTCATGTTTTTGAACTGTCTGAGGAAGCCGGAGTACCCGGAGAGAACCCCACATGCACAGGGAGAACATGCAAACTGCATGCAGATACACCACGGGTCAGAAATCGAACCTGGAACCTTCTTGCTGTAAGGCAAACCGTCACTTTACTGTGTAAAAGAAGACTGAATCAACATCAGGCGGGACGCATGAGATGATCCACAGGTTCTATATATTAGAACAATGTTGATCTACTACTATTCAAGAAATAATTTCAGAGTAATAAATGCTTTGGCAAGCCGTTTTGATATTACTATTATTACTATTACTATTTTGCTGAATATTTATTCCATATAATTAAAAAAAAAATCTTTGTCTAAATGTCCATTTCAAACAAAATGACATTCTCCACATCTAGAATAAACATTCTGAATTTCTATAAATTTATTTCAGATCTCCATATTCCTAATATTACTGGTCAGCATTTATATTATTTTAACCATGAAAAAATGTTTTTCCGATTTCATAAATATATTTTCAGTCAAGGTGGTAATTGTCCGAATAGCCACTTAAAAAACGTAAACATTTCTAGATATATAAAACTTAATTCTTACTAGTATAATTTTGCTTTTTTTTTACTTTCTAAAATTCAGTTTCTGCGACAAAAATGTAATTTAGAAAATATATTATTACAGTTAGGTCTAGGAGTGTGATTTTGATCAGGAAGATTCTTATTTTAGTGATCTACAAATGAAACAACAGAGAGGAGTGCTTTTAATAAATGTAAAAACGGCCTGCCATAGCCCACTTCATATAAACTTATGCACTAACTGGAGAAACAAACTTCTCCTTTGCTCCTTTGTAGCTGTAGCGCTGTTTCTCTGTCTTTAAAACACATTCTCCTTTTTCATTTTTTTGCATTTCTGCATTAAAATCTCTAGGTCCTTTGGGGTGAAATAGACACATCCCGTTGCCTGTTGTCATGGTAACTCGTCGAATCGGTGCTCCACTGGCTTTTCATACTTGTTGCGCACGCGCTAAACTCTAAGTGAACCTAGCTAATATTGATTGAACTAATTTATTGCTGACGTTGTGAAACTGAACTCTCAGTGTTCCTGACTTTAGGCTAGATCAGTTTAGATTTGTGGATTTGAGTCTGAATTTGTTAAACTTGCTTTTTGAAAAGGACCCCAGACCTGCTCTGCCTGGACAAAGTTTGCCTCACTAATTTAAACCCTACAGGTTGGAGAAAACCTAAAATGTTATGAAATAATTACGGAGAAACAGTCTATCTTGTTATGAGAATGATTATTTTTTATCCCAAACACTCCTTAATAGGTTAAACAACCCCTCTCTCTTAGACACCTTGCAGCTCTGAGGCCTCCATAAATGAAACTCTGCAATCATTAATCAATACATATAAAAGGAAATTAATAGATTGATTTTTTTTACACCACAGAAGCGGAAAATGTTTACAATAATTACAAAATATATCAGTTTTGTTTTCTGATTCAAATTCATATCAGTTTAAAGTTAGTTATTGAACACATTTTAAAATGATTGATCAAATATCAGAGCTGGTTCTCTAAAGATAAACACAGTAATAAAAGTTTGACAAGTTAAAATATTGTTATTTTCTTGTGATTTTAAGTATTGACTGAATCTAAAAAAGCACCAGTTACTAACTTTGAGGCTTGTTATTTCTAAAACTGTCGGACAGCAGAAATGTTGGAAAGAGGAGGGGATGAAGATCAGAACTTCTGCGCTCTGAGGAGGAAGAGGAGGAAAAGAGGGTTTTCACAGATGACAGACAAACATTTGAACATTGGATTTAAGGAACTTCTGTTCTTTTAACCTCCCAAATATTTATAAAGTCTTATGTAAAGTAGCTTGATATGAAATGTTGCGAATTGGTGTTATATTAATAAACTGATTAGATTTTATTGTTGTGCTGCATTCTCCTTTAATAATAAACAGTTTAAGACCAACATCTCCTGTTTCCCTTTATAAAATGCATGAGAGGGACTTTCCTCTGCTTGCAAAAAAATAAACTGGTAACTTTTTTTAATTAAGATTTTACACTGATGACTTTATTTGTATCAAAGTGATTTTATTTTTACTTCAGTACATTCTTGTTCTACTCTTTTCACCTAAATGTCTGACACAAAGCTGCCCAGGCCACCTCTAGGCTGCTCAGTCAGCTACATTTCCTTTTTGATGTGGCCTACAGATGTTCTGCTGCACTTTTTCGACCTGTTAAAATAGTCTGTTATTCTGACTGTAATTTTTCTCCTTGCTATCTCAACTGTGAGCAGCCATATTGACGTTATGGCTGGACCTGCTAGGCCCAGCAAGCCTTTAAATTTAGACTCAGCATGTCTTTATTCTAGTCCAGGAACATGATTGAATAAATTCTTAAGTCTCTGAAAAACAACATAATAAAACAATTCTGTGCACATGTAACTTTTAGGAATTTTGCTCAAAAATAAAACATTATCTTCATTCATTCAATGCTTCACCTTTATACCCTGTTGGCTTTTTTCGCTGCCGTTGTTAAGCTTTTTGATATCTCCATTTAAGAAAGCATCTAAGGCAAACAATGTACAAAAAATGTAAATCTAAGTAAGTAAATTTTTCCAAAAACAAGTGCATTTCTTCCTGAATTGAGCAGGTAAGTAAGACTCTTTGCCAATGGAATAAGACAGTTTCCATTTAAAATAAGAAAAAACAACTATATTCTCTTACTTCAAGTGCATAATATCTAATTTATCTTATTTTAGGGGTAAAAATGCTCATTCCATTGGCAGATCATCTTATTTTCCTATTCAAATTTAAGGTAAATACACTTGTTTAAAGACATTTTTACTAATTTTCAGAATGTTTTTGCAGTGCATATTTTCTATTTTCATCATTTTTTTTAACCAAATGTTGGTCCAGACTTTGACTAGACCTTCTTAAAACATGAATATGTTCTTAGTTTGTAACTTTCCATTGCAGGTTTAGTGTCCTGTTGAAAGACCTGAAGAGTTTTGCAGCTCCCAACAGATTTCCTTTCATCTTTGCTTGGCTTTAGCTCCATGTATCTGCACAACAACACAAACCGACGTTCCCGTTCCTGCTGAGGAAAAGCATTCCCACAGAAGTATGCTACTACCAACATGCAGCATTGATGTATTCAGTATGGTTTTGCATCCATGCAAGAAATTAAACTTTTTCCCCGATTTTTGGCAAAATTCAAGCAGGACTTATTCTTGTTTTCTTTCAAACTTTTTATCTTGACAGCCTTCCTTATAGGTACGATTTGTGCAGCGGTTGCTGATCATCCAGAGCGTAAAGTCCTCAGGGCTTATCAGTGTAATCAGGCATTGCTTTGTTTTGTAACACTTTTGGATTTTAATTTAGAAAAAAAAAACATTGCCAAACTTCCTTCCATGCAGCTGGACTTTTTTCAAAGTGATTTGATTTAACATTTTGGTCACCCTTTTTTTTTTATGTTTCTGAATTTCCACCCACCTTGAACCTAGTTAAACGAATTATAACACACCAACACAAGCCAGAAGGGCTACTATAAAATAAATTCTGCATACTGTATCTTGTGGTGCTGCAACCTGACATTAGAACTAGAAGAACCCTTGGAATGTATATAAAAAAAGATAAATTAATGAAAAATTTTCTCTGTACTGAATCTTAATGCTTTAACCCCATTATCTTCTTATTAACAACTTGATGTCAGCTTTTTTACATTTAGTCTGTTGTTTTGTGTCCAGATAACTGCAGCCTTTGCAGGTCTGAATTGATTCCTTTGATTAATAAGCAAAAACATGAAAACTCTTAATACCCAAAGGGTGGATGATAATCACCCCTATAAGATATAAAACAACACCTCTGACTTCTGGTCTCTAAAATATGACAGTTAGAAAACTGAAACTTTAGCAGCTGAGAAACTGTCTGCAGACCTGAGGTGTTACATTGCATGCATTTGCCTCTGACTTTCTGACGCTTTTAGACCCAATTTGCACAGCGTCTGCAGTAATAACCACACACAGGGGAAAATTACACTGTAACAGGCAGGTGTTTTGTTTTGATTAGTCACGTGATGAAATGAGAACTGAAGTATAACCGTCACTCTTTGCGTTTAGCTGATGTTGACTTTTTTTTTAAAGGAAATATACTCATGTGTTTGAGGCTGAAGAAGGACTCTCCTGAGAGTTTTGGAGATCTATGGCAAGATCCAAACCTTTACAACCCAGACTACTCTGTCTTACAGACTTTCTTCTTCTTCTTCTTCTCTTAATCTCATATTTTCCCACTATAGTTTGTTGAATCTTGCCATGAGGACAAAGATATGAAGGCATCTACTTACTTGATTGAATCATCCTCGTTATTGGTCTTCACTCTCCTCTGTCCGCCTCGTCCTCCTCCCGTAGAGCTCCCTCAGCTCCAGTTTTTACTCTGCAGGTCGAGGTCTGCTTCGATTTCTCAGCACAGGCGGAGCTGCTGTGATGCTGCAGGTAGGAAACGGCTGAGGCGTGGGGGCAGAGTCAGAGACAAAAGACATGCAAGGTGGGTGGAGGAAGTAAAGAATGTGAGAGAGGGAAGACAAAGAAAGAAGACTTGATGACAGAAAGAGGATCTTTAATTACAAGTCTTGATATGAACTTTAGCAACTTTGTTAGAGTGCAACAATGTTTACTTAAAACATCTAAATTTTATTATTTGTCAGTGTTTTTAAAAAGTTTCAATGATAAAGAGAGCGATGGAGAGGAAGTGAAACAAATGACGTGAATGAAACCACAAAGCATCCGTCTGAGAGTAAATCCAGGAAGAAGACCCACATGCATACAGTTATCATCACGCAGCACCAACATTCAGCCTATTTAAACTGACCATTTGGCTCTATGTCACTATTTGAATAGATGAGGTTCCTGATCACCTTGACGACCTGATTTAAACTCTAAAGCAGCAGAGTTTGGCTAAAGTTTACAGGCTTAGAAAAAACGCTTAGTGAAGCAAAATTTTATTCAGATTAACAATAAAGGCGTTTTTCACAGGAAAGAGCGCCGCCACAGCAGCAATTGTTTGCTTTCATCTAGTTTTTTTCTTACCCTGTTCTTATGACTGTGTTCAGCAAAACCTTATGAAAGGTCTGTCAAGCTTCAGCTCGGGGCACATTGCTCACTGACCCTTAGAGAAACGCTGCTTTTACCTTTGAATAAACTGATAGAGATGAAATCTATCATTTATTTTTGTTTAAATTGTGTCTCACTTCTTGGTAAGGCAAGGCAAGGCAAGGCAA